AAGAAGTACAGTAAACATGTGATGCCGACCAAAAGTTAAAAATCATTAGAACATTTAAGTTCTGGCTAAAAGCAAATTCCTGTAAAAGATGCGTTACAATGTTAGTCCACGCAAAAACAAGAAGTTCTACAATTTTCCTATAAACAAACTTTGTATCGCTAAAATACTTAAGGCAAAAACTTTCTATTCCAACTGAAAACGGCGTGGTAGTCGCCCGCTGATCGTTATTAATCCACTCCCGAAATATGGCTAAATCAGCTATTAACAAATTATTGACAGAAATCCTCTACGGCATCGAGAAACTGATTTACATCCGATTTATAGACAAACACTAAATAAAGAACATTTTGCTCAATAGCTACACATCAGCAATGCATTCTATGCCAAACTTTGCGGTTCTTAAAGGGGAATCAAGACACGAGTCGAGCGCCAAACAACAACAAGCAGCCATGTTCGTGTCAGACATCTTTGAGAAACTTGCTCTTTCACCTCGTTCAGCGCATCAGTCTCCACAAATCAACAGATCTTTACTTATTTTGTACAACGAAGGTCTTTCCTAAGTTCCTGCTACCATTTCAATCTCAAGCAAGCTTTCAAAGTGAACAATTTGGTTCCTATGACTATGCAGCACGGTCTCTGTCACTGGTCGCGTGCTCTTTGACAAGTCAGCGGTCGCGCATGCTCATGCAAAAAAGACCCCTGATTTGTCAAACAGCGGTTTGTAATCTACGCGCGTCTATTATGAAAGAGCAAAAAAGGACGGAGAAGAAAAAGAAACATAAGCCATTACTTGTAACACATGAGCCACTTTGGCTTATTAAAGCAATACGCAGTTTCTTTCCGTCGCCATAGATAAAGTCCGCTCTATCGCAAATGCTATACTTTTTATGGGCCGAGGCAGAGATACATGGCATTGTTTTACTACTCTGTAGAGCACAGGAAGTTTAAGTTACCCACCGAAGCGTTGAGGAGGCGGAAACCACAAATTGCAAAAAGACTTAGAGATTCAGAATATATTGAAGACTTGAAATATATAGTCAAGTGGCATGGAATGTGTATCGATATAGATTATGCTTATTCAATAATTTCGAATTTCAACAGAAAAGTGTACTCGATTCCAAACCGTATAACGCTGAGAAAAAATATTTGTTCATGAGATAAACCAAGTTTGGTCTAAAGCCTTGCGCTTTAGCTGGTGGCTAGATTGCTTGTGATTTCCTCTATACGTCAGGGCCCAGTTTTTCAAAAGGTAAATAGCGCTATCCACTGGATAAATCTCGGTCCTGCAGTGGATACCTATCTGCTGCACAATTATCCGGTGGATAGCGCTATCGAACGTTTGAACAACCGGGGACTGATATTCACGGTATAAAAGGTTTTTGTTCTGTTCAAGGCAGGCAAGGTCATCAAATTAAGGCTGGTTTGTTATTTAAACAGATTTTATATTAGACGGTGTTCAACGGAACCGCGTTTTAAATTCTGTCAGTCTTGGTATCTAAACTTTCAACATTTTAAAGAAGCAGCTAGAAAAACGTTTTTCTACTTAAGATAAAGAAGCTTGTAAAAAGATTTGGAGGTCAAACGATCGTCTTAAGCCGCTGTTTAAGTCAAATTTGTCTTAGGGAAGCCAAGCACCGAGAGAAAGACCGAAGAATACGCGAACAGTGGTCTATAGCCATTCAGAGACCTTCAGAGTTAATCTTATTCTGTCAGATCCCTCTTGGATACAAAGTGAAACTTGTCATTCAAGTACTAGTGACAAACCATTGTCAGTAGCAGCGACCGAGAGACTGAAGAATACGCGAACAGTGGTCTATAGCTATTCAGCGCGACCTTTAGATCCATTATGGATATTAGTATAGGTAATAGCGTGATTTGTAGTGATATTTGGCATAAATACCACGAGTGATATTTCGAAATTGTTATACGTAATTTCACGTGAAGTTAGGCGAGTGAAATTTAAGACAATTTTGAAATATCACGAGTGGTATTTATGCGAAATAACACGTACAAATCATGCTATTATTTGTTTATACTACTACCCACAAAAGGTTTGTAATTTTCACATGTAGGTATTTCAAATTAAGCTGAAATACCACTGCTCTAAGCCAATCAAATTGCAGAAATTTCTTATGTAGTAGTATAAAAAGTGAAATTTGTCATTCAAGAATTAGTGACAAACGCAAGCGTATTTGTCAAGGAACTGGTCACAAATAGCCGAAAGAGAAACTAACGATTAATGATAGTTAAACAACAGTAAATTGTTTCCGCATTAGAGCTGCAGCACCGCTGAGATTGTGTCCTTCCGGTCTTTACTTTTGCTTCAGTCAAAGTGTTTATGTTGTGGTTCAATTTTATCCTTGGTTTAATTTTTCTTTCCTTTTGTTTTTGGGTATGGTAATGTATGATAGTGAGTTTCTAACAAAAGAAAATAAAAATTGAACCAAGGGTAAAATTGAACCACAACATTTACATCAGTTTCTTGTAGTGATACCGACAAACCCGGCTAAAGGTATCGCCGAGCATAGACCGGACAAACCGGCTTTTGATGCGTCGTCATGATAGAGGCTACATTTTAGCAGGAACATGTAGTTGTTATTAGACGGGAAGTTTTGATCATCTTTCAACCGAGACAAGGGAGCGGATGTGACCACTCTAAACAAGTCAAAGTGCATTTAAAGAGCCTTATCCTAGGCTAGTAATTTGTCAAGAAGCTGGACTCTGATTGGTCGGCAAAACCATTAAATCAAATGTACATGCGAGTGCTATAAGTGGAAACTAATGTTTCATAACAAAAACATGGTTTTTTTTTCCGTGTTTATAAACCAGCGTCATCAATTTATGTAATAACATTGTTTGCAAATTGACAGGTCCCTTGATTGTCTTCAAGTACTAAATGATGTATGTGTCTCATGCAGGATAATCCTTGTATGCTACTGTTTATCTTGCTAATAAATGGAGGCCAGGTCAGAACCCACAAGTCTGCCGACAACTTGCCGAGAAGCTAGGTGCTTTTGACCAGACATCACCATAAAACTGGCTCAGGCTCCTTAAATCTATTCAGTAAGAGAAGGTAAATTTGATTGTTTACTGATATCATTAAAGTAACGTTCTTTTCTGTTAAAACTGAGAGTTCAAATGAGCCGAGTTGTATCACTTTGTCCGCAAGTTGGCAACAGCAGTGTCACGGTCTTTTTGTTTTTCTTTTGCTCTTGAATTGCTTTTGTTGTTAGACTGTTCACAGTACCCTATTTTTCCGTGTGATCGTCGAGATCGAGCGCGTCTTACTGTTAATGGCGGCCATCTTGATTTTAGATGTACCGAGGGGGCGGGCGTCGGGGATTATAGCTCGCCTCCTCCCAAACCGTCCCCCGCCCCCTAAGTAGGATTAGATACTCTTCCCCAGCTTAGACTCGGTACGACTGAAAATCAAGATGGCCGCCATTATGGTAAGACGCGCTCGATCTCGACGATCTCACGGAAAAATAGGGGACTGTGAACAGTCTATTTTGTTGTCTATTCTTCTCCCCTTTCTAACGTCCCTGCAACTTGTTACATTCTTCTTCTTCTTTTTCTGACTGCTTCTTCGCCTTTGCTGTATCTTTAATTTCCTTTTCTAGCTTTTGTTGTTTGACTCTTCTTCTTCTTCTTCTTCTTCTTCTTCTGCTGCTGCTGCTGCTGCTTCTGGCCCGCTTCTTGACAATCCTTTCCTTCCTTTTTTCTACCCGAGTTTTATTGTAGTTTCCTTCTTGTTCCTTCTTCTTCAGTTTCTCTTAATTAATCGGTTCTTTTATCGCTTGTCTTACTGTTCATATTCTCTAGCGATTTAGATTAAACCAGTATCATAGTTACCTTGAATGTGCTTATACCAGAACTTGCTAAAATTAACTACCATTCGCCGTTTATGCTACCATTTTAGAGTATAAACTTAGTGGTCGGATGAAAACATGCAGTATTTTAATGGAGTCGGTCGGCGTCACTCGTTCGAGCTCGGTTTCATATTCTCATTAAGAGAGAATGATCTCTTGATTCTATTTGATATTTTGATGGCAAAAATGAGCCCATTTTTATACCCAAAGTTTTGACACGATTCAAGGGGTTTTATAAAAATACACTAGGTAATAATTATGTACATTATTTAAGAGGAAAAGAGATTTAAAACTGTTTCAAATTCAGATTTTCAAATTAGGTCCTGAACACGGCGTTTCAGAACAGACCCTGGCGGGTTCAGAACTGGGGGCATGCACCAGGACCCCAATTAATTAATTTTTTAATTTCAAAAACTTATAAGGCGTAAATATCTATATAAATATATTCAAATGCGCACGACCCCAAGTATACTCAGGTTTACGTGTTCAGATAAGTAGCCCCCGTCATGGGCAACTGTCATCTACTATGCATGGTTCGCTGGTTGTGTATTGGTATCACATGCTAGATGACAGCGCACCGCATTTGAAATTAAACTTTTTACCTTCCTTGTTCAATTCACGGCGTGTTGCAATGTATGAAAGCTCGCTGTATCTTTCGGATGTACATATGGGGTGAACAACAGGTTCTTTATGAAAATTTTTGCCCGTGCACGTCCCTAAAGGCCAGGACACCACAGCATGTTACGTGGCCCTCTTTACTGAAATGAAAGAAGCCGTATAATTCGCCTTTCAAGAAAATAACGTTACCTTGCATCATGAACAACAATCCTTCAGTGTTGATATCGAAAATACTTTATGGTGTAACTGATCACACAGGAATTCGAACACTGAGTGGAATTAAAATTTCCCGGCCCTCCACCACGCATTTCTTAACACGCTATCAAAAGTTTCTAATAATGATTTCTTTAAAAAGTGAATTTGTTATGGTGATACAACGATTGGATTGTTGTGTGTTATCATGGCTTTGCTGTACACTTCAAGACAGACACTCGCGGGATCAGCTCTTGCTCTCGCCTAACAATCAGTGCCAATTTTTTTTCGTAGATGTTTCAACTTCCCCATTTTATTTCAATGGTACGAAAATTGGTAGGGACGGCTGTAGAGGAAACGGAAGAAGTGATAAAGCCGAGCGCTGTCGCGGGGACTCTGACCTTCGAAAATGATACCATTTATCCAGTTATTATCGTTGATCACAATGGAACGCGAACCTTGGATCCTGGTCAGTCCCAAGACAACTACCTCGTCAACGACTTTAGCGTGGATCTGACCTTGAAGCTACCAGACACTAATAAGGCGAAGAAGAGTTTCCCTGCAAAAGAATTTAAAGAGCGCACGCTTAAAATGAGCAAGATCTTCGCAGATCACATTATGGATTTGCATCGTACCAATGCTCCCGGCGCCGGATCAGAATTCAAACTAAATCCAGGCTCTCAAGAAGAAGAAGAAGAAGAAGGAGAAAAAGAAGAAGAAACTGTTAACTTATCACCGTCTTGTCCTTTCGAACACAAATTTAAGAGCAAAACCCGAAAACGGATAGTTAACATCAGCAGTTTTTATCGATCGGGGCCTCTAACCAAAAAGTGCGGAAGCTTTGAAATTGCATCTATCACAGTAGTCAGCTCGCTGTCATGCCAGCCAGGAAGGGCCAAAAATGTTTGGAACTTATTGGTTACCTCAACAAAAATCAAACACACTGATCTTAGAATCTTAAAATGAACATCAACTCGAGTGCGTGAACAAACAGTAAGTTATTGAGACATAAGTTTTCTCGTTGTCTGCGGTTGATTCTTAGACATACTGTGAAAATCGAGGGTAATTAAATAGGAATAATTTGTCCAAAATAATCTCCCAAGCCTTTTTGAAAACCTTTTAATGGCGCGGGTGACAAATTACGTCACGACAATTGTGAGTTTTTTAATTGTTTATCGTAAGAACTCACCACGCACTGAAGCATGTACAGCATAAATGTTAGCATAGCTATGGAATCCAAGTTAGCATTTTGTAAAGTTGGACAATTCAGTTCATTTTCAGTGACTCAGTTTAAAGAGAAACTAACGATTAATGATAGTTAAACAACAGTAAATTGTTTCCGCATTAGAGCTGCAGCACCGCTGAGATTGTGTCCTTCCGGTCTTTACTTTTGCTTCAGTCAAAGTGTTTATGTTGTGGTTCAATTTTATCCTTGGTTTAATTTTTCTTTCCTTTTGTTTTTGGGTATGGTAATGTATGATAGTGAGTTTCTAACAAAAGAAAATAAAAATTGAACCAAGGGTAAAATTGAACCACAACATTTACATCAGTTTCTTGTAGTGATACCGACAAACCCGGCTAAAGGTATCGCCGAGCATAGACCGGACAAACCGGCTTTTGATGCGTCGTCATGACAGAGGCTACATTTTAGCAGGAACATGTAGTTGTTATTAGACGGGAAGTTTTGATCATCTTTCAACCGAGACAAGGGAGCGGATGTGACCACTCTAAACAAGTCAAAGTGCATTTAAAGAGCCTTATCCTAGGCTAGTAATTTGTCAAGAAGCTGGACTCTGATTGGTCGGCAAAACCATTAAATCAAATGTACATGCGAGTGCTATAAGTGGAAACTAATGTTTCATAACAAAAACATGGTTTTTTTTTCCGTGTTTATAAACCAGCGTCATCAATTTATGTAATAACATTGTTTGCAAATTGACAGGTCCCTTGATTGTCTTCAAGTACTAAATGATGTATGTGTCTCATGCAGGATAATCCTTGTATGCTACTGTTTATCTTGCTAATAAATGGAGGCCAGGTCAGAACCCACAAGTCTGCCGACAACTTGCCGAGAAGCTAGGTGCTTTTGACCAGACATCACCATAAAACTGGCTCAGGCTCCTTAAATCTATTCAGTAAGAGAAGGTAAATTTGATTGTTTACTGATATCATTAAAGTAACGTTCTTTTCTGTTAAAACTGAGAGTTCAAATGAGCCGAGTTGTATCACTTTGTCCGCAAGTTGGCAACAGCAGTGTCACGGTCTTTTTGTTTTTCTTTTGCTCTTGAATTGCTTTTGTTGTTAGACTGTTCACAGTACCCTATTTTTCCGTGTGATCGTCGAGATCGAGCGCGTCTTACTGTTAATGGCGGCCATCTTGATTTTAGATGTACCGAGGGGGCGGGCGTCGGGGATTATAGCTCGCCTCCTCCCAAACCGTCCCCCGCCCCCTAAGTAGGATTAGATACTCTTCCCTAGCTTAGACTCGGTACGACTGAAAATCAAGATGGCCGCCATTATGGTAAGACGCGCTCGATCTCGACGATCTCACGGAAAAATAGGGGACTGTGAACAGTCTATTTTGTTGTCTATTCTTCTCCCCTTTCTAACGTCCCTGCAACTTGTTACATTCTTCTTCTTCTTTTTCTGACTGCTTCTTCGCCTTTGCTGTATCTTTAATTTCCTTTTCTAGCTTTTGTTGTTTGACTCTTCTTCTTCTTCTTCTTCTTCTTCTTCTGCTGCTGCTGCTGCTGCTTCTGGCCCGCTTCTTGACAATCCTTTCCTTCCTTTTTTCTACCCGAGTTTTATTGTAGTTTCCTTCTTGTTCCTTCTTCTTCAGTTTCTCTTAATTAATCGGTTCTTTTATCGCTTGTCTTACTGTTCATATTCTCTAGCGATTTAGATTAAACCAGTATCATAGTTACCTTGAATGTGCTTATACCAGAACTTGCTAAAATTAACTACCATTCGCCGTTTATGCTACCATTTTAGAGTATAAACTTAGTGGTCGGATGAAAACATGCAGTATTTTAATGGAGTCGGTCGGCGTCACTCGTTCGAGCTCGGTTTCATATTCTCATTAAGAGAGAATGATCTCTTGATTCTATTTGATATTTTGATGGCAAAAATGAGCCCATTTTTATACCCAAAGTTTTGACACGATTCAAGGGGTTTTATAAAAATACACTAGGTAATAATTATGTACATTATTTCAGAGGAAAAGAGATTTAAAACTGTTTCAAATTCAGATTTTCAAATTAGGTCCTGAACACGGCGTTTCAGAACAGACCCTGGCGGGTTCAGAACTGGGGGCATGCACCAGGACCCCAATTAATTAATTTTTTAATTTCAAAAACTTATAAGGCGCAAATATCTATATAAATATATTCAAATGCGCACGACCCCAAGTATACTCAGGTTTACGTGTTCCGATAAGTAGCCCCCGTCATGGGCAACTGTCATCTACTATGCATGGTTCGCTGGTTATGTATTGGTATCACATGCTAGATGACAGCGCACCGCATTTGAAATTAAACTTTTTACCTTCCTTGTTCAATTCACGGCGTGTTGCAATGTATGAAAGCTCGCTGTATCTTTCGGATGTACATATGGGGTGAACAACAGGTTCTTTATGAAAATTTTTGCCCGTGCACGTCCCTAAAGGCCAGGACACCACAGCATGTTACGTGGCCCTCTTTACTGAAATGAAAGAAGCCGTATAATTCGCCTTTCAAGAAAATAACGTTACCTTGCATCATGAACAACAATCCTTCAGTGTTGATATCGAAAATACTTTATGGTGTAACTGATCACACAGGAATTCGAACACTGAGTGGAATTAAAATTTCCCGGCCCTCCACCACGCATTTCTTAACACGCTATCAAAAGTTTCTAATAATGATTTCTTTAAAAAGTGAATTTGTTATGGTGATACAACGATTGGATTGTTGTGTGTTATCATGGCTTTGCTGTACACTTCAAGACAGACACTCGCGGGATCAGCTCTTGCTCTCGCCTAACAATCAGTGCCAATTTTTTTTCGTAGATGTTTCAACTTCCCCATTTTATTTCAATGGTACGAAAATTGGTAGGGACGGCTGTAGAGGAAACGGAAGAAGTGATAAAGCCGAGCGCTGTCGCGGGGACTCTGACCTTCGAAAATGATACCATTTATCCAGTTATTATCGTTGATCACAATGGAACGCGAACCTTGGATCCTGGTCAGTCCCAAGACAACTACCTCGTCAACGACTTTAGCGTGGATCTGACCTTGAAGCTACCAGACACTAATAAGGCGAAGAAGAGTTTCCCTGCAAAAGAATTTAAAGAGCGCACGCTTAAAATGAGCAAGATCTTCGCAGATCACATTATGGATTTGCATCGTACCAATGCTCCCGGCGCCGGATCAGAATTCAAACTAAATCCAGGCTCTCAAGAAGAAGAAGAAGAAGAAGGAGAAAAAGAAGAAGAAACTGTTAACTTATCACCGTCTTGTCCTTTCGAACACAAATTTAAGAGCAAAACCCGAAAACGGATAGTTAACATCAGCATTTTTTATCGATCGGGGCCTCTAACCAAAAAGTGCGGAAGCTTTGAAATTACATCTATCACAGTAGTCAGCTCGCTGTCATGCCAGCCAGGAAGGGCCAAAAATGTTTGGAACTTATTGGTTACCTCAACAAAAATCAAACACACTGATCTTAGAATCTTAAAATGAACATCAACTCGAGTGCGTGAACAAACAGTAAGTTATTGAGACATAAGTGTTCTCGTTGTCCGCGGTTGATTCTTAGACATACTGTGAAAATCGAGGGTAATTAAATAGGAATAATTTGTCCAAAATAATCTCCCAAGCCTTTTTGAAAACCTTTTAACGGCGCGCGTGACAAATTACGTCACGACAATTGTGAGTTTTTTAATTGTTTATCGTAAGAACTCACCACGCACTGAAGCATGTACAGCATAAATGTTAGCATAGCTATGGAATCCAAGTTAGCATTTTGTAAAGTTGGACAATTCAGTTCATTTTCAGTGACTCAGTTGATAAAAACGACTCTGTCTGTCTATCTAAAACAACGAGTTAGGAAATGTCATTTTGGGGAGGTGTCCATCATAGTGAGGTGTCACTTAACCCTCTAAGTCCCAATGGTGACCAACATCAATTTTCTCCTAACGATATCCATACATTATCATGAGATGAGGTTGTGAGAATTAATAAAATGATCACCGAAGAGAAAATACTTTGATCTTTTATCAAATTCTCTTAACTAATTCTTAAAGGAAATGTATAGAGATCAGTTTGGAGAATTTGTATGTGGATATTAGGGCTTAAAGGGTTAAAGAGCGATTTGCATTGAAGGTTAATTTTTTCTTTTTATATAGGAGGGTCTAACTTAGGTGGGTTTCCATTTCAGAGAGGTGTCGATTTTAGGGGGAGCGGAGATGAGTACTGAGGATGTGGTAGAGTTGTCCATAACTGATCATTTTTCCGCTTTGATGAATTGGTCAGAAGTTGGATTTTAAATATTTGGGGTTATTGTGGCTCTTTCGAAATTATACTACCTTGTAACTTATTTTCTTTGATATTTACAGATAGGGTTTCTGTCTAGTTCGTTCAGTTTAAAATTATTCAGAACAGTTCAAAACACACACACTGCTGAGAAAATATAGTTGCCCTTTTCAAGATAAATTCTGTAAAAAGCTTTAGTTTTAGATTCTGCTTTTAGCCATTTTGTAGATCTATTTATAGTAAGTATTTTAATAGTAGTAATGTATAGGTTACTAGTATACTTTTACACTTTTTTTAAATTTGCGCACACGTACACGTTTTAACGAGAACTCTGGTGCTCCTGGGTGTTACGTGTCTAAATAAAGGATTTGATTTTGATCATAGCGGTATGAAGAATACTTCGGCCAAGTATGAACACTTGTTCGCACTGCCACGAAGAGTAGAACAGAAACCTATCCAATGATGGATGACGATTCACTTTCAAGATCGCTTACTTTCTCGTTTTCTCTGTCTTTCTCCTTCTCTAAATTGTAAATCTGTGGACATGACATTATAGATTATCCGATTTGGAAAAATGGGACCTGGTTTCCCAGAAAACTGTAAATCCGATTAATATGACAAAACGGATACAAAAAAAAAATTTCCGCTTTCCGCGTTAGTTGTCTTTTAAAGAATATTGAATCTTCTCAGGTCTACGCGTAAAGTTCTAAGACCTTAAAGACTTTGTTATGTGACGAAGGACTCTAGGCACTAAGTGATAAATTAGCGTACCACCCATCCCACCCCACCTTACCCACTATTTTAGAGGAGACTTGGGAACCCTTTCATTAGGGATCCCATACCACACCTGTAATGCCACAAAGGTTTCTATATAAATCTACTGTTTTTTTATTTTATTTTTATTTTTTATTTTTTACAGAGACAAAGCACGTTAGGCACTAAGTGATAAACTAGCGTCTTTTTCAAGTGTTGCCTCGTTAAAGACGCTTAGGGCTGCCGTTTTTGCATTAATTGTCCTAGAGTTCCTTTTTTCTGAGGAAAATGCTCCGAGTTCAGCCGGGAGTTTAGCTCATAGTAGCTCATAGTGCTTTGAACAAGTTTCAGTTATCGAACAGAGAGAATGTGTTAAATAACTTTTTTAAATTTGTGCCTTTGACTGCGGGGTAGAACGCTTTCATAAACCGAAGGAAAAATCCCGGCTGAAACAAAATAAGACAACGTAAAGGTAGTTGTGATTGTCCTCATATTATGTTAGAAGGAAAAGGAGCTTAATTCACGTTCTGATTTCTTTTGGACGATGTCGTATCATGAAGGATTGTCGATACTCAATTGAAAATCATAAGCCGCGGTGAAGCTTTGTTGAATACAAGGAACACAGGATTTGACGAGTTTTTCCGATTTTATCTTTAGTTTGCAGTTTTTGAAACGAAATGCAAACTACCTTACTCGCGAGTAAAGATTTTCATTTAGATAAAAAGAACTGGAGATGCACTGACAGCAAGGAAAATTGTTCGTCAGTGTGAATGGTGATTTGACCGTAACTCTTTAAATAACAATTTGTACATAACATGTTAAAATAAGTTACTAGTTATTTGCTGAAAAACAAAATTTACCTTCTTGCAACAGATGTACGAACCTTGACTCGCAAAATTCTGCGTAGCTTTTATGCAGCGTCTGGTAGGAGTTGTCCGATTTCCGTGGTCGCTACCGGATGATGGCTCCCTCAAATCACTTTAAGTTTGATGAAGTTGCCTTGAACAGGAAAAAACTGTTTCGCGGAACTGAACAACTGCTCAAAGCGTCACCTGCCTAAATTTAGCGCCTTTCCCTGAAAGCTTGATTTGTTTCCAAAAATTTCTGTTCTTATCAGCATTACAGTTTGGAATTGAATTGAATTTTCCCACCTTTCAAAGTTAAAGATTTGTGAAATGTGGTGGGAGTGGTTCAGTTTTTTTCAGTGAAGAACATCTACCTTGGCTATATATTAATAAACAAGTCCTCCATCATATTTTCAAAAAAGTATACTAGGGTCCTGTTTACAAGGAGGGAGGGTAACCCTGGTGCTAGGGTTACCCTAGCAACTGAGGGTTACCCTAGCACTCTCATATTTCTTCTTTTTTTGGCACGACGTGTTTACAAGGAAGGTAGGGTTACTCTAGCAACAGGGTAACCCTACCTGCCTTGTAAACGCTCAGCTAGTAATAACTAGCCTACCCGGGTCAACTTTCCGCCGTCATGCGTCACCAGTACGTAATCGTGCCAATTTGAACGGTATGATGCACATGCGCATTAGATACCATTTCTTAACTGATTTGCATGTCACACTGAGACACGCGCGTGAATTAGAACCGGAATACCCTAAACAAACCTAGTAGAGTTAAACTAGTTACAACCCGAAACAGGAGCCCATCAAATTTGATGGGCTCCTGGCCGAAATTGTGATTATAGGCCCTAAGCCGTAACATAGCACTCATTTTTTTATATACCATTGGATTTGTCCAGGGAAAGCCAAACATCGACGAATACTTCTGAATTCGGTGAGGGTAAAAGGGGGAATGAGTTTGCGGAATGGCATGTAGCATGGCTTGCGGAAAGACATTATCATGCGGAATGAAATTTATGCAGAATGACTAAAAAAATAAATTAAACTGAAAAGTGCACCCTTTTTTGGCACCAGTCAATTTGCAAAAGTAGCGACTGTTTTTATAATGTTGCGGGCTCGACTATGATGACATTCAAAAAGCCACGAGGGATTCCTTGATTCTCACTCTCGATTAGCCTTATTCGCACAGCCACAAATATTCTACTTGTCATTATTAGTCAGGC